TGTTGGAGGGAATTGAAATTTGACCATACTACCCTCATCAATCTTTTGGTAACTTATTCATATATTGAATAAAAATATTTTTTTATTATTTCGGGTCGGGTCGGGTCGAGTTCGAGTTTAGGGTGAAAATACCCGACCCGAAAATATATATAATTTTATCTTATATATTTAGGAATAATTATAATAATACCCGAATTCCATCCAAGAATGGATGGAATTCAATTCCCTTGTTGGAGGGAATTGAAATTTGATCATATTACCCTCATCAATCTTTTGGTAACTTATTCATATATTGAATAAAAAAATTTTTTTTATTATTTCGGGTCGGGTTTCTAATTCATATATTCGGGTCGGGTCGGGTCGAGTTCGAGTTTAGGGTGAAAATACCCGACCCGAAAATATATATAATTTTACCTTACATATTTAGGAATAATTATAATAATACCCCTCTCTATATATATTTTTTCAATTAAGTTACTGTTTTTATTGAATAAAAATAATTTTTTATTATTTCGGGTCGAGTCGGTTGGATTTCTAATTCATATATTCGGGTCGTGTCGGTGAAACTTTATTTTGTTCAGGTCGGGTCGGGTTTTTTAAGTGTGATATTAGGGTCGAGTCGGGTCAGGTTTTTTTAAGTGTGATATTCGGGTCGGGTCGGGTCGGGTTTGGGTTTAGGGTGAAAAAAGCTGGACCGACCCGAAAAAAATATATAATTTTACCTTATATATTTAGGAATAATTACAATAATACCCTCTATATATAATTTTTTTCAATTAAGTCAATGTTTTTATTGAATAAAAATACTTTTTATTATTATTTTGTGTCGTGTCGGGTCGGTTTTCTAATTCATATATTGAATAAAAATAGTTTTTGGTATATTTTTTTGTAACTAATTAACATATTCCGATTGAAATGTATCGAAATATTGCTCTATCTTTTGGTAACTTAAACATATTTTGATTGCGATGATTTTAACTTATGATGTTTATTAGCATGATTTTTATAATTTATTGAAATGAATAATCAATCAATAAAATGAAAATTTAATATTTTTAAATTTTTTATAATATATTACTATATGTAAGTTGTAAAACAAACTAAAATAAAGCAAAACACAAGAAGGGTAATTCTGTCATTTTATATTACTGAAATCAAATTCATCTGACATGTCTGCGAACCAAACAGAATATGGAATTGAATTATAATTCCATTTTCTTCCAACCAAATAGAATATGAAATTAGATTTCAATTCCTTCACAGATTTCAATTTCCTCATAAATATTCCAGCGAACAAGTTTTTCCTACATCCTAAAAATTCATTTTATTTAGGCACAAAAAATTCTTGAAAAAGTAATTTTTATTATGTTGCTATGTCCCATCATGGATATTGGACTAAAATCTAAATCTTATTAAAGAACATTAATTAAAGATGGGTGCATATGAAATGACATAAAAAACTTGTATAAATTAAAATTAATTATGTCATGATATTAGTTGAGCAAAACATCTCCACCGACAATCAAATTAAACCTTAGAGGTTAATTATTTATTAATCACAAACCATGAAAAGTTGGGTTAAATATGTAAAATTTTATATTTCAGAACGAATTTTTAAAATTTTAAGAGACAATAAATTCATAAAATTTTAAAAAATAAATTTTTAGTAATATATATATATAATAATTTTAAATTTTCAAGATGAATTTTCTTCACTCACTCATCTCGGTCCGTCTTGATTATATTCTATTATCAAAATAATTTTAGAGCTTCCACTCGTTTTGTTTATTTGTGCCTCCAACTCAACCACTCTTCTGTATTTTTAACCTTTTTATATAACATTATCTTCTTCTTTTTGACGTTTTCCTCCCACTTCGTTATGTATTCCATAGATCGATAGTGAACCTTTAACTAAATTTGTAAATAAAATAAAACATAAAATATTAATAAATATAAAAATTACATTTTATAGATCGACGGTGAAATTCTTTTTGCAAATGAAATTTTAATGATGTCGTGTATTCCATTCAAGATTTATGATACATATTTTAGGAATACATGTTGGGGGTTTTAGAGTGTAAATTTGAATTTTAAATTTAATATATTATAATTTAGAATTTAGAATTTAGAATATAGAATCATTTAAATATATCGAATAGCATAGAATGAATCTGTTTAGTGGAGTAATTTTTTGACGTCATACATAAATAACAATAACCAAATATATAATTATATTTTTTCTTTAAAAAAATGTCTTTCTTTTTAAAACTTAAAATGGGACGTCTAAAATAACTTCACGACCCATTAAAGTATTTCCCTAATTAAATTGTATTTTTTAAGTAAATATTAAAGATAAACAAAATGTTTAGTACATAAACTATTATTTTTATTTTGTTTTAGCATTTAAAATTTTCTTTTTCAAAATCATACATAATGTTGATGTGACATGACATGTTAAATTTTTATTTTTTTTAAATTTTCACATCATCTTTCTCTTTTTTCGTCAATATTTTTTAAATAATTTTATTTAATCAATGTCACTGACTACGAGGATAAGATGAAAGGAATCATTTTTGCTCCCAAGCATGAATTTTTGAACATGGGACACTTGTATAAGATACAAGGCACTTAACCATTGAGCTAAGCTATTCACGTGAGTTAATTTAATCATATTTTGTATTTAACTTATATAACTGTATCACCACAAAAATAAATATTTTTTGATAATTAGAATGGAACACTTTAAATTAATGATCGAAAACTTAACTACTCAACTATAGTATAAATCTTTTTTTATTATATTGAACTCAATACTTAAATCGTTATTAAAGTAAAAGATTAATTTTTTACTTTATTTAAAAATAAAAAATTAAATTATTTATTTATTTATTTGTATAAAATTTATATTAAATCATTATAAAAATTATATTTGTCGTATTTTAAAAATATTTATTTAATTTTTCACTATAATTTTTAAAATCGTATTATTTATTTATTTGCAATAATATTTTCAAAATTTTAAAATATTTATTTAATTTTAAAATCATATAATTTATTCATTTAAAATAATATTATTTAATTTTTAAAAATTTTAATTCTTTTAGAAGAAAATCTTAAACTAAAGAGACAGAGATATCAATGCCACTAACCATGAAACAATATAATTATCCAATTTCAGAAATTTATTACAATTATTTTTTGAAATGTTGATGCAAATATGTAGAGATATGAGTATTCATTGTCCTAACGTACCAATAGTATGCCATCTTTCTTGTTTAACGATCCAATGATTAAGGGATTTATAATTATTCTTTGCGGTTTCAATTTGAACATCACCTATGTAGGGATATGAACATTTATTATAAAAAAATTGGGAATCTTTAAATAAGTAATACCTTATATTCATTCCGAATTTATTAAAAATAAATAAAGTCCATTCTTACCAAACCAACATGAATTTTTGGTAATGAACTAATAATCCCTAACATACATAAATCAACCCTCCAAACCTACTTGGACCATAGTTTAGGATTCATTCATATATCATGATTCTAGAAATCTATGCAAAAAAGTTCATACTATGATCGGCATGTGTAATTTAAGTGAATTGAGTTGATTATTGTTGTAACTCTTTGAATGTTGAGATTTTCAGAAATTTTTAATTTTTCTATTTTTTTTAATTTCTAGAGTTTCTTGAAACATATGAAATTCTATATCCTCTATACATCTATACATTATTGATGTGATCTTTGATAAGTATATATGATCTACATTTGAATATATAGGGATTATATCTATTTAGTTCATCAACTTGCAAATAATTATCATTATCCTGAATATGTTATCAAAGGGTCACTATATAAGTCTTCATATATGGTTGGAATAAGGAAAGTTCTATTTCTCACAATCTCTTTTCTGAGCTCAATCTAGTTATTATTTATCATTCATCCAGTTCATAAAATCATCAACTAGTGATTGATCCAGAAATATTTTTTAAGGTAAACACACATATGTTAACAATATAAATTTTTTGAATAGAGTGTACACAAATAAAATTTCAGGATAATCACTATCAATAAAATAATTAATTAATAGAAGAAAACTCGAATTTCAGGGTAGAGACGTAATCACCCTCACCAAGATATAGCTCCGTCACTGTCACTAATTATAATTTTTTGTCTAAACTAAAAAGGATAAATCGCAAAAAACTGCCACAATCACAATTTTATGGTCAACAATTATAATACTGAAAATGACTATTAGAAAATGTAAGTCAAGGGAGTAAATTGAATTATAATGATTGTTTTATAGTAAACTTTTGTAATATTCGTTTGAAATTAGTAAATTGATAGATCATATATAGGTAATTAATTTAAAATTATATATTGTTATATTAATATTATATTCAACAAGTTCAGCTGGGTGCCATGATATGGACCAATAAAGGGATTGTGTCTTTGGTTAATCATGGCATAGGTTTGTTCTTTTCAGGTATCGTTTCTTAATCAATGGATTCTTCTCCTACACTTCCCAATCTAATCTCACAGTTTTCTTAAGTATAATCTTAACCCTTTTCATTCTCAGCAGTTGTTTTTCAATGGAAATCTGAAAAGAAAGCTGAGGACCACAATTTGACAATTATTGTTCCAACCTCAAATTCAAAAACACATTTCATTATTTATTTATCATCTGCAGACGAATATGAATGGTCACGGAAATCAAAGCAGCACAGACCCACCACCTTCATTGCTACTAAACAAACCACAAAATTTACAACAAATTCATTAGTTAATGGCAATATAAAGAAAGAAAACTGTTCAAAGTTATGGCTTTCTGCAAAAGACACTACTGCCCTCCTCCTCCTGCAGGTATTGGTGAAGCAGGGAAGGGTGAAAAGGAAATGTGTGGCAAATGAAGAAACTGTTCCTCCAGATTCTTGATGTTGAGGATTATATTATATATTTTCGTTTCTAAATTCAACTCTTAAGTCTTAAGCTTTAAAGTATCGTCCAAGTTTCTTTTATTTTTCCTGTAGTTGGGTTCATATTCTTCAACAGTTCAACTTCGATCCAGTATCCATGTCAAAGATCTGATCTTGTTGCTCTGTAGGTCCCAAAGATGGATTTTTCCCATGTTCATTTGCTTGTTTTCATGAATTCTTGTGTGTTCTTCAGTGTCTCTCAGTAGTATTCATGGAATCTGAAGTCCTTTTTTAATTGTTTGATGCAAGAAATGAAGTGGGTATTTGAAGAACCACCATTGTTGCTCAAATGAAGCTTCTTTTATAGCAGTAGAGGTTATCTGCTCAAATATCTGCAATGAAAAGCAAGTTTGGTTCAGTGCTTCTTTTATCTCTTGTCACTGTGGTTTTTAGCACCACTGACCCTGGTGACCTTGATGTATTAATGGAATTCAGAGATGGACTTGATAATCCTGAGCTTTTGAAGTGGCCTGAAAATGGTGGTGATCCTTGTGGTCCTCCCAGCTGGAACCACGTCTACTGTGAGAACTCCAGGGTTACTCAGATTCAGGCTCAAGGTGTGGGCTTGAAGGGTACTTTGCCTCGAAACTTGAACAAACTCTCCATGCTCAACAACATTGGTCTCCAGAGAAATCAGTTGAGTGGAAAGTTGCCGTCTTTTTCAGGCTTATCTAATTTGCGGTATGCCTATTTGGATTATAACAATTTTGATTCTATCCCATCTGATTTCTTTGATGGCTTAGATGATTTGGAAGTCATGGCATTGGACCACAACAATTTTAATGCTACCACCGGCTGGTCATTCCCCAAGGCCTTGCAAAATTCTGTTCAATTGACCAATTTTTCTTGTATGAACTGCAATTTGATTGGCTCATTGCCAGGTTTTCTTGGTTCCATGTCGTCCTTAACAAACTTGATGCTTTCTAGTAATAGGTTGTCTGGTGAAATTCAGGGAACTTTCAGTGGCAGTGCTTTGCAGATGCTTTGGCTCAACAATCAACTTCATGGAGGGATGACTGGTCCAATTGATGTTGTGGCAACAATGGAGTCCCTCACAGTTTTATGGCTGCACGGGAATCAATTCGCCGGAACAATCCCGGAGAACATCGGTAACTTAACACTCTTGAAGGATCTCAATCTTAATAGTAACAAACTTGTTGGCCTGATTCCTATTAGTTTAGCAAATATGAGATTGGAAAAATTAGATTTGAACAATAATCAGCTGATGGGTCCAATTCCAGTGTTCAAAGCATCAAAGGTGATTTTGGCTTCGAACAAGTTCTGTCAAGCCACACCGGGGCTTCTTTGCTCTCCCGAAGTTATGGCACTTATAGGGTTTCTTGCAGGGGTGAATTACCCTCCCAGGCTTGTTTCTTCTTGGTCTGATAATGATCCCTGCAACTGGTTGGGAATTAGATGCAATAGTGGGAAGGTTTCGATCATAAACTTGCCACATTATAATCTCTCTGGTAGTTTGAGTCCTTCAATTGCAAAGTTGGACTCCCTTTCTCAAATTAGGCTTCAAACTAACAATCTAAGTGGTTCCATCCCAAGTAACTGGACTAGCTTGAAATCCCTGGAAACTCTTGATGTCAGTGGCAATAACTTATCCGGTCCATTACCAAAATTTAGTGGAAGTGTGAATCTTGTCATAACTGGCAATCCTTTGTTGAATGGTGGTAAGACAGCCCCTACAATAGGTGGGGAAAATACTCCACCTGAGAGTTCAGCTTCTGCTTCGCCACCCTATGTCCCACCTAGTTCATCAAGAGATTCGGGTTCCACTACCAATGATTCTTCTGTTGAATCCACCAAAACAAAGGGTTTCAAAAGAAACACATTTGTTTTAATCATTGCTCTTGTTGCAAGTTTTGCAGTTCTTGCATTTCTGGTCATTCCTCTATCCATCTACTGTTATAAGAAGAGAAAAGACAGTGTGTTGGCTTCGACTTCCCTGGTAATCCATCCACGGGATCCATCTGATCCTGGTAATACAGTTAAGGTTGTTGTTGCTTCCAATAACACCAATGGAAGCACTTCTACAGTAGCTGGAAGTGGTTCTGCAAGCAGAAATAGTAGCAGCATTGGGGATTCTCAGGTAATTGAAGCTGGAAATTTGGTTATATCAGTTCAAGTTCTTCGGAATGTGACAAAAAATTTTGCACCAGAGAATGAACTTGGCCGTGGCGGCTTCGGTGTAGTTTATAAAGGTAAACTAGATGATGGAACACAAATTGCAGTTAAAAGAATGGAGGCTGGTGTGATTACAAACAAGGCTTTGGATGAATTCCAGGCTGAAATTGCAGTTCTTTCTAAGGTTCGACACCGTCATTTGGTATCTCTTTTGGGTTATTCCATTGAAGGCAACGAGAGAATTCTTGTTTATGAATATATGTCTCAAGGTGCTCTTAGCAAGCATCTTTTCCATTGGAAGAGCCTCAAATTCGAGCCGCTATCTTGGAAGAGGCGGCTAAATATTGCCTTGGATGTAGCCAGAGGAATGGAGTATCTTCACACTTTAGCTCATCGGAGCTTCATACATCGAGATCTTAAGTCTTCAAATATTTTACTTGGTGACGATTTCAGAGCAAAAGTTTCAGATTTTGGTTTAGTTAAACTTGCTCCTGATGGGGAGAGATCTGTTGTGACCAGGCTTGCAGGGACTTTCGGTTACTTAGCACCAGAATATGCAGGTAAGCAAGCTGTCTATGGTTATTCAATAATTTCTACATGTAGCATAATTTAGACCCACAGATGTCCTTTTGATTCTTTGCAAACTCTAATTTCAAGTGCCAATAAAATTCAGTGACAGGAAAAATCACGACCAAAGCCGATGTATTTAGTTTCGGTGTTGTGCTGATGGAGCTTCTGACTGGATTGACTGCACTCGATGAGGATAGGCCTGAAGAGACACAGTACTTAGCTGCATGGTTCTGGCATATCAAATCAGACAAGGAGAAACTAAGGGCTGCTATCGACCCCGCTCTCGACGTAAAGGATGAAACACTGGAGAGTATCTCCATCATTGCTGAACTTGCAGGGCATTGCACTACAAGGGAACCAAGCCAACGACCGGACATGGGGCATGCAGTGAATGTATTGGCTCCGCTCGTGGAAAAATGGAAACCGCTGGATGAAGATAACAACGACTATTGCGGCATCGATTACAGCCTTCCTCTTAACCAGATGGTGAAAGATTGGCAAGAAGCTGAAGGAAAAGATTTTAGTTATTTGGACCTAGAAGACAGCAAAGGGAGTATCCCAGCTAGGCCTACTGGTTTTGCAGACTCATTCACTTCTGCAGATGGTCGATAATAACAGCTACTTTGTTGCATTTATTTGAGAATTAATGCCTTGTTGATTTGGTACTTGTACATAGTAGTTTGTGTTCTGTCTATTTCAGAATTCAATGTTGATATGTAATATATATCTTTCAATTAATATCTAAATTACTGAATAACTTTGAAATAATACAAAAGTATACATATCAATGATATCAATAGAACACAAGGACATATGTAGGATTTTATGTTAGAAGAACGAATTTATAAAATTCTAAGGAATGTGAACTTTTAAATATTTTAGGGGAGTGACTGTCCCGACCCTTTCCTCCCGGTCTATCTCTGATAGCACACATGGTTGGTCCCCAGCATTCCTGTCGATTTATTAGACAGCCTTGCTTATTTTGTTGTTATTCCTATGATTTAAAATGGAAATTCAGATCAGCAATAGTTCCCTCCACTACTAATTTTATTTGGATAAAGGGAGGTGGGCAAATGATGTAAACAAGGATAATGGCTTCCTGCTTTCGAGTTCACATAATTGTAATGAATGATAAATAATAGGGTCAACTATATGTTTAGAACCTAAATTATTATTTTTGCCCAGTTTTAATACATAAACTTTATTTTGTTTCAAAATTATACCTAACATTTAGTTTAGGTTTCATTTTGGTAACCTACCGTTAAAAATTTAACAAAACTATTAACATATTATTTTTTAAAAAAAATCAATGTTGATATGATATTACCTTATGGTGACACGTCAACATCACCGTTAAGTTTTTAATGAAACCTAAACTAAACGTTATGCATTACTTTGAAATAAAATAAAGTTTAGATACTAAAGCGGAACAAAAGTAATAGTTTAGGTATTAAACGTGTAGTTTGCCCTATATTTAAAATATATATTAATTTTAAATTTTCAAGAACTATTGTCCCAACTCCCTTTCCATCCATCCCTGATACCACAATATCCTTCATGCTATTATGAAGTCAAATTGGAGAGTTATTCAGTTGGTTAAACTTTAGTTTTTTTTCCTTTTTTCCCATCAGAAGCTTCTGCCTAGAGAGAAGAAATCTGGAAACAAACATCTTTGGAATCAACAGATTCAATTAGCACATATAAGGCAATAAGACATGATTAGTGCAGTGACATACGGATGCAAGTCCACATCCAACTCTCATGTGGTTTTATATTAAAATATCAATCTACATTTATGTGCGTAATTTGTGTTGAAGCATATACTCGGAGTGAGTGTAGAAAGAACGATTTTAAAGAGGATTCCCTATTTTCATTAGATAGAAAAGATCATCAAATCTCGTGATCTTGAGTATCACGTGTTTATCATTTCACCACTAAGACATCTTGAAAATGAACCGATAGACTTTTGGTGTAACTCAATAATTTAACCTTAAAACGAGTTTGAGTCTTTTTTTTTCTTTCTAAATTTGCACTTCTTTTATTTAATAAAGATATTAAATGTCACATCTTATTCATCTAAATAAAATTATTAAAAAATGACAGATTATTGACAAGGAGAGAAAAAAATGATGTGTCACATCTTATTGGTCTAAATTTTTAGTGGTGCTTTTGTTAAAGGCATAGTATCAAAAAATTATATAATATTTGCTTAAATAGATTTTTTTGAATATTTTATTTTAAGGTAAAAGGATCTTTAATATTTATTAAATAATCACTTTAACTCTTATTTTTTTAGGAGTATTTTGACTCCAAATATTTAATTTTAGGACAATAAGTCTCCTATTTTAGAGTATTTATCATTAGTTACAAACGATTTTCATCAACAGAAGGGCTTTTTACCTTAAAATAAAACGTTGAAGTCAAAATACTCCAAAAAGAAAGAGAATAGAAGTCAAATTGATTATTTAGTCAATCGTTCAGATAATTTTTTATCATTGTATCTTTGCTTAAAACAATAGTTTGGTAACTAAAATAGAAAAGTGATAGTAATTTGGTGACTAATTATATAGTTTACCAAATAGTTTCCATAAAACGAATATTAAAAAATATGAAGAATATTTCCCCTAAATCAATTATCGGTAAACAAACACAGCTTATATTTGTTAACATAACCCGTGCCGCGCAGCCTCGTCTTTCTCCAAAGCCCTCGCTTGCCTTCAAGTTTAGTGACAGACAATGGAATTCAAAAAGATAGCTTGAATATTGGTTTTTACACGACTCATAGAGAATTTGAGTTACTTTGAAAGCTATCGGTTCAGCAAAAAATTACACTGCTACGTCACCGCTGTTTGAAACGGTGGTAAAATGGCGCGTTCGAAGGCCCCTTCAAAGAAGCAGCAAAAGAAGGGCATAGATTTCAAAGTAATTCCATTGCTAACGCTCACTTTCTGTTTTCTTTCATTACTCGTTACTTTTTTAATATTAATATTTATTTATTTATTTATTTGGGTTTATGTACAGAAAATTAAGAGAAAGCTTGGCCGGAAATTGCCTCCACCGAAGAATGCCACCAATACCGAAATTAAATCCAAAGGTGTGAATCGAGAATTTAATATGTATATTAATTTTTACTTTTGAATCAGGGAGACATTTGTTTGACTGGAAAAAAAATAGAGGAATTTGAAACATTTCTTTTGCTGCAAAAAGTTCTGTCATGCTCCTGAAAAATTGACGTGATTGATTGAAATACGCTTTTTATGTCTATTGTGGGAGCAGCAATTGTACTTCCTGAGCAGAGTGTGGCAACAAACAAGGAAGGCTTAGCTGTGAGCAAGAAAGGATTGACTTTGAAAGAACTACTTCAGCAAACATCTCATCATAATGCCAAAGTTCGAAGAGGTCACTTATTATATGATTTTAAAGAATTATATAGGCTGTTATTTTCCAATTGCTTTATTTCAATTATGAATAAACTTCTGCGTTTTTTATTCTTTTAGATGATCTGTTTATTGAGTATAATTTTATGAGTCAATGTTTGTACTCAAGTTCCATAAATCAATCTTGATGTAAGTTTTGTTCTCTTTGAAGATGCATTAATTGGCATCAAGGATTTAGTCATTAATCATCCAGCAGAGCTGAGGCTGCACAGATATGCAGTTATAGAGAAACTGCGGGAGCGCATAAGTGATGATGATAAAGTAGTTAGAGAAGCATTATATCAACTGTTTAAGTCCGAAATTTTCCCTGGTTGTGCTGAGGTGATTTTTCCTTCTTGATCGTTTACTCTTAATTTGAAGCCAGTGTCTGTTTCCAAAGATTAATTTTACTGTGATAAATGTATAGCTGCATGATTAGATTACTATGTAGAGACTAGTGATGCAGATATCTTAATGCTTTAGCCTTTAGTGTTAGGTATTAGATATTCAAAGGGTGTGTTTGGACTAGTTTATTTTGTTTTATTTCACATCTGCAAACAAGCCGGAGAAATGCTAACTGGGTTTGCTGTTTTCGTTTATCTATGAGTTTGGTATAGTTTTTGTATGTTGTAAGATGTTAAATTGCTCTCACACTTCAAATGAAGCTCTGGATGGATTATGGAAGCATGCTTAAGGCAAAGGAATCAGTGTCATTTTTAGGTGTATGTTTACAACATATTATTGTTCTAGGAACAATAATTGAAATTATATGTGTGTATGTGTTTTAGAATATAATCTTGCCTTAGAGTTTAGTTCTGTTACCATCTTTTCTAACCGTGCTTCATTTGTTATCCTATGAGTTCAGATATGGCTGTATCTATCTATTTTCTTTCTTTTATTATTTTTATTGTGATTGATCTTTGGCCATTTTAACTGACAATAGGTTCTGGATTTTCCTGTCCAGGATAATGAAGGACTTTTCATCTCCTTGTTGATGACTTATATTTTCAATGCAATGACAAATTTAGCTATTGACATCCGCTTGATGGCTTTCAAATTTTTTGATCTTGTTGTGCAATACCATCCTCCTTGCTTTTCCTTATACGCTGAAAAGGTACATGAAGTCATTTTATCCACCATTGCAATTATTATGTTTTTAGCAGCATTGTTAAAATAAGAGGCTTGTTAAAGAATTAATATATAGTGCAGAAAAAGAAAAGTTGCATTAATACTTAATAATATTAGATGTTTAAGCTTTTGAGGTTTCATTGGAAAAGGGCATTATCAAGTTTTCATAAAATTAAGTGATGATCTCTTTAAATTGTGATACAGCTAATCCTTTTGTTTTGGATGGTGATACTCCCATTTTGAATTAATTTAAGTAATTGTTTCTTCTTTTTCCCTTTTTTTCATGTGTGTGTTTCTTCATTTATTTTTTCATAAGTAGATTCTTCAGAGCTATGAAGATATTTTAAGGAAAACCCAGTTTTATTTGGAAGACAAGGGAAAGCTCAAAACTACTCTTTCGGGGTTAGTCCGCTGCTTGTCTCTGTTGCCAAGCAAAAAGCCAGAAGCTGATAAGGTATGTTCTTGTTGTCAATCATGTGTATACAATCATTCTTAGCTCTATTAATTTGGCTAAAAAAGTTGTTCTTCTTTTGTAATAATTTAATAAAATAAGTTGAAAGTTTAGTCACTATTCATGATACCAGATTCTAATGTTTGTATTTATTTCCATTAAATTTATTAGAGTATTTCAGGAGACAGGATAATACATGCTTTGAGCCTGATGCGCCCACAGCAAATACCAGTATGTAAAAGCTTAATGCACCTTGTCATTATTACATTTTGTTTCTCCTTTTTGTTGGCACTCTATTCAACTACATGAATGATGATAACACTTAAATGGAAAGTGCATGGTCTTGTTTCTATATTTTTATGCCCTGCATAAAATTTTCTCAAAAAATCTTCATTAGGGTTTTTGCAACATTTTCTGTTTATTATTCTTTAAAAGTATTAAACGGTACATTTGCTTCCATCTCTTCCTGATGGAGTTAGGACTTCCATATCTAACAATCAGCATTGAGTTGGCTGTTTTCTTCATTATTGTTAATAATAGATGATCTAAATTGCAAAGTTTCTTAATAGTGCCCCATCTCCCTCTTTTTCTCCTTGCTAATTACTCAGCTCCAGAGTTTCTCAACTTTGCTCTTCTTTCTTTCTTTTAGGTTATTATTATTATTATTATGCAGGTAAAAAGAACTATACTGGCCTGCTCTGGTTGTCTTAACAACTGTATTTTTGTTTCTGTAGGGTTCTCTACCATTATAAAGAAGCTGAAGGAGCTTGTGCTAGTTCTAATAAACTGTTTGCAAGATTTTATTCCTTTGCTTAATTCTATGCCACAACTGGATGTGCTATCATTTGATTGTATATTATCTATGCTTCAAAGCATAGATATTGCTGTAAGATTTTTTATTTATGGAATTCATGAAGAAACACCTGAATCAATATGTGATCAAAGTCTCTCATCAGCCTTGTCAAAGAAGTTATTGGGGGTGTTTCCCCTCTATCCAAAGCATCATCTTTCTTTAAAGGTATTTCCTTGCCAGAATTTCAATGGCTTTGTTTTGTTTCCAATTAACTTTCTTATCTTTTGCGTCTTACATTTTTTTTTCTTAATTTCTTTCCATTCACTTTTGTAAAGAAAATATTGACTCAACCCATTTCATAGTCTAGCAGTAACAAAAAAAAAAGTTTTGCGTGCTGTTGGATGCTGAGCTATGTTGCAATCTATTGACTATTGCTTCAATTGGTACCTTGGATTATTTTGTGTGCTGACTTATCCTTTATACAAAATGTTTGAATTTTGATGGCTTGATTAAGTACTTAGAAATTGGACCATTTTCAGTTGCTGTCTTTTACTCTGTACGTCAAATACTGTAAGTGCTATGTTGAATGATACTTAGCGGCATTTTGAAAAAAAAAAACAATTTCCTGTGGAAAAAATATCTTTGTTGAATAATATGGCTTTCGATCAACCCCAATTGTTGACCAGTAGAATCAAGAACTAATAGTCTTGCCCCCTCCCTCCCCCATCCTTGATATGTATTTGTGTCGGCAACCCTATTTAGATGATGTCTTTATTAACTGTTCTTGTATTTTCCTTAATTTTGTCGCAACTGATCCTTTTACACTTTGATTTTAGGAGCATGATAGATATTTTATCCTGAACGTTGTCATAACAGAGATATTTTTGCACCTCCGGGAATGGGTTTGCCCTTCTGCAAATATGTTTGAGAAATTTCTGGAGTTCATCGAAAATGCACTGCTCGGCACGGTTGGCTTCTTGAAACCATCTTGCTCTCCTTTATCTGTTTTCTTTCTGAACTTGGTCATTGAAGTAAAGACCTAACACTTTGGTTTAAAGATCATGTAATGGCTTTTCTAAAAAAATGGTTTTGGTAAAGCTTATGAATTGTTAGGATTCAAAAGGTGTTCAATGCCCACTGTAGTTTTCTACTGGAAAGTTAAGAGAAAAAGTAGGTTGGCGAGAGGGGCTTTTTTAAGACCGTATCATAAGGATGGCGGTTGGCTGATAGTCATTGCAATTTCTTGAAGAAGATGATTGCCTGCTTGTTCATTATCTTTCAAAATTCAGAAGGGTTTGATTGTAGATTGTAGCAGGGAATAGTTCCAAATATATCTTGGAAAGGTTGAGAAACACTGAAAACTCAAATAGGATTTCTCTTGTTGCTGGAAAAAAGGGGAAAATTAGTGCATTTCTCTACTAGTTGTTTTCTTTTTTTTTCTCCAGGTTTGGTTGAGAAACCAATGGTCTATCTTAGAGCAGTTTTCCTCTGATTATTTTGAATTTTAAATAACACAAGAATTTCATTTTTTTTTGTAATTATACTTCTTTCAGTTAGTTTACAGGTTCTTAAACTGTTTTGATGCTCTTCAAATATAAAATCATTTTATGTTATTGAGTGCAGACTTCATAGAATTGCTTCTCATAATTTACATTTTGTAGATCTGTAGTAGCACACGTTCTGGTAAAGCAACATGGGAAAAGCATATACCTTCATTGCTACCTTTCATTCCCAAACTTGCCTCGGAAGTGGGAACTGGTTGGCAGTCACGCATTCTCGAGGTTGGTTTTATTCTGAGAGCATTATTCAAGTTAATTATATTGCTTAGTTTTTCTTGTTTTAACAGACGTCGCTGTTTGACTTTTCTTTCTTCTTGTTAGCCATTTGGTTCTACATTTTTGTTTCATAGGCCTTAAGAAATTCTGTATAACCATTAAAAACTAAATTGCAGTCATTTACACGGACGTTCAAGGGTTGCAATCCAGATTCTTCACTTAAACTGGCTTGCCTGTCCATGATTGAAGAAATGCTAATTCCTGTAAGCTCAATTCAATACATTTTAAATGTCCCTAAAACGTGATCTATGCATGTGGACATGCTTATATAGACTCCTCTTTTCTGTCCCTCTTTTGCACCACCTGGAAATTAAATCTAGTATTTTCCTTTTTCAAATTGCAGAGAGGAGATATGCACTATACTGAAGCAAGTGAAACTGTGTTATTAGACTATCAGACTCTCTGGATAAGAGAGCTGCCCCTGTTGCTAAACCTTCTTGGTGATAAACAACCATCCTCTTCCCAGGTAATAGCCTGTTCTACCTTCTGGGATTCACTAACATGTTTTGACATTGGACTTTGTTTAAGTTGAAAAGGCTTGAGTATCCTGTATAATTATCTTACCAATGGTCCAATTTGTTGTAAATCTTCAAAACGAAGTAACTATTTCCCTTGCACCTTAGGTTGTCTTGTGCCTCCTCCTTCGTCTGGGGCAGTTTTCTGGTTCAAACACTTTTCTGTTTTGGGAATATGAAAATACTCAATTTGCACTCAGTGAGTTTTTCAGTACATGTCAAGAAGGTATAAGTTAATTCATACTGAGATTTTAGTCCGTGAAACAAACTTATGCTTTTGATTTGACTTGTCATTCCTTTCCTTTTGTTGCAGGAAACGTATACTACGGTCCTTTCATGAGACTTCCTAGGGATTGCCAGGAGTTGTCTATCTGTTGCCTTTATTATTTCTCCAACGTGAATGTACTTTTGCTGAAATCAATAGCTTTTTGTTGCCTGTGTAAGTGCTACTTACCATTTGTTGGTTTAGGTCCTTTATGTTTAGTTTTTATATTTTTATAATGCCAAAACATTTAAAGAAGATAAAAATTTTATTTTGGAAACCAATATGAAAAAAGGAATTTCTTTTGAAGTGCTCAAAAAAGAAAGAGAACCGAGTTTCAGACATTTCAAACTAGCAAGTTGGACATGTAATTTAAGGAGACGGTACTATTTTGCTTTATTGAAAGACATGGACTTATATTGCCAAATTTCTTTCCCCATAAAAGAAGTAAATTGTACATTTGGACATTTGTGGTTCTGGATGTTATTAGCATCTTCTGTTTTTCTTTCGATGGGTCATTGTAACTTATGGAGAGAGTACTATTTTTTTTAGTGAAAGACATATGTGCTTATATTTCCAAATTTCTTTCCCCATAAAAGAAGGAAATTGTACATTTGGACATTTTTGGTTCTGGATGTTACTAGCATCTTCTGTTTCTCTTTTGATGGGTCATCGTAACTTAAATTTGGTGAGAAGATGCTTAAAATAGCAAAGTTACATTTACTCTGACCTAAAATAGAATATTTCTTTTATAATCATCATTCTACTCTGTATGTTTCAGGTTCTGAATTGGAGCCCTTTTTAACTTTCCTTATTATAGAGGTTCTGCATGCTGCCTACAAAGCTGGACACATCCAAATTGCTGACCACATCAGCTTCTTCATGACTTTACTATCTCGTTTCAAAAATTTCCCGGGTATCTCAGAAATATATTCACTTTCCAGTTTTGTTGATTATAGCACTTGGCACTTCCTTTTTTTTGTCTTTTAACATTTTTATATATTTTGGGTATCTTTTAACTAAATTCTTTATGGTGCATTTGCTTGTAGATCCATAACTCACAAGCACATAATAGCATGCTGTACTATAATCTGATGATATTGTAAAAAGTTGACTTCCTAATTACAGAGAATTGTCCTGGTAGATTATATTGGTTTGGTTGCTCCTAAAAGTCCTTTTATAAATGAGAAATAAGGGGCTTCATGGTGCAAGCGTTTATATGAAAATAGATGACTGCCTCCCTCGTTCTGTTTTCGTACTTCTATACTTGTGTTTTACTTGATGATCATTTGATATCTATCTCAATGGGGATTTGCTATTCGCAGAAAACATATATCCTGTTAGAGGAAGTGATGGGAAGGTTTCAAATCATGGAGCTTTTAAGTCTCTCACCAGCATGCTTTGCTCTTACTTGTCACAGATCGGTGATAGTTCTGTTGTTTTCCAAATACTAGAGAAAGCAATCCTTGACTTGATAGTAAGTCAACTGAACTGCTTGCATCCCCATTTCAGTTATTTCCTTGCACCCATAGTCAAGTTTTTATGCAATATTTGGATTGGTTGGATAAGTTATTTCTCATTCAATTTGGTCCCTTGAAAATTTATTTGCATGTTGGTGTCGTAACTTTTTGCAGCTGTTACAACCACCTCTTGAAAATGCTTGTGCAATGTTGAGAGTGCTCATCGTGCTGGACTCTAAACCCACTCAACTTTCTGAACAAAGTATAATTGCTCTAAGCAATTTCCTTCCAGGATATCTTATGGATGTTGTGCATGTAAGTTGTCAGCATTTGCCCTCAACTTAAATGCTTCACCTGTTTCTTATCAATTATCCTGCCATCTTTCTAATTTTTTTTTTGTTTCTAGTGATCATCTCTTGGCTCCCTTGATGTTGAATTGTTGATTCTAATAAACTATAATATAAATTGCTCTTACTTCATAGTTCTTACTATTAGTGCATATATGTTTGGATGTGCTAATTTCTACCGGGAGTGAAAGAGAAACTAGCAAATAGAACTTTCTGCGTCATCATACGGCTCTGTAAGACTTCTTTGTTTTCTTGATTCTAGTTGCCAAATGTCTTTGGTTTTTGCAGTGTATTCCAGAAGATGATGTTCAAGCATGGCGATATTACGTTCTACCATGCTTTTTCATGTTTGATAGGAGTAACAAACTTCTGAAGCTTGTCTTGGATGTGATTGGTTCATTTTTTACTGACAGTAATTTGCCGCTTTCTACGAGATATGCCACTGACAGTCACAGTCAGATAAATGCAACGATTTCTTTACTTCTATTAATGTACAAGGACGTTAAAGTTCAGAAAATTATTTCTTCATTCAGAACAGAGATCGGCTCAATTTTGCAAAGCATAGCTTCTTTTCAGGTATGATTTTGCAGCATGCATTATTCTTCTAATCATGATTGAAATTTAACAAGGATCCTAGGCACTGGGATGCTTTAAGCATTAATACCTACTTGCATTCGAGTATCGGTATCCTTGTGCTCCGTAACATTGATTGTTGATGTGTCAATCCCATCGATAAGTTTGACTGTATATGCATATCATTCCTACAAAAAGTACATTTTATTTTTGAAGGCTTTCGGTTCGCATTTTTTGGTCCTGCATGCTCATCTAATTATGTGGACTTCCAAATTTCATTAAATGGCAAAAGAGTAGCACCTTGACATTGGACATGGTCCTCTTCATCTGCTTTTGGCAAATTTAAGACATTACAATTCTTTTTCCCTGCTGGATCTGATTCCTACTGGATCCATCTGGTCGGTTCTTGCTGTGTATGTGTTTAGTACCTTTTGACTGCATAGGGGTTTGAAATTTAAGTGTGTTTTTGAATTAATTCTTTGGGCAAGGCAACGGCAAATTAGCTTACATTATAAAACTCCATGGTCTTGCGGTTGTGTGATTAATTCATATGTTCTTAGTCTCTTTCCTATTGTTCCTGCAGTCTTCGGAAGTTGAGATGACCCTTGAAGAAAGGCACAAATTGCAATGTTTATTTGAACAATTAAAGGTGGTCACAAGTGCATTACCAGCTGGCTGATGATCCAATTGTTGTTGCCCACTGTGAGTTTATTTTCTTTATTTATTATTATTTTGATACAACCCAAATTTTATCTTAAGTTTTTCCAAATATTTCAAAGATCATACCTTAAGCTCTTCCTTCAAAAATGTGTTAAGACATGAGGGTCGGATGCTGGACTATAGAAGAAAAATGAAGTCAGATAAAATGGGTTCTAACAAAAAATTAGTTGGATGATCCATTTTATATTCATGGTGTCCATCCATGTTTGACATGGAGGAATTTACATTACATATGATGGGAAGCATAGAGGAGACGGTATTAAGAAAGCTAAGATTACTGCTAAAGATTGTTGTCTGAACTGCAGTTATTTGAAGTTCATATTAATGGCGGTTTCTTCGGGTTCGGTTTCTTCTAGGGGAAAACCGCAGTGGCCTCGCACGGACCCTTTCTCTAATTTTGCCCATCGTTTGGTTGTTTGTAAATTGTATTGGTGTTTCAGAGGGAAAAGGGGATGGGAGAATTTGTTCATTACATCAAATGATTGAATATCAGGTCTAAGTGAACTCTTTTTTCAAAATGAATATCCATGCGACAAAAGATAGCAACCCATAAAATAACTCGATCCCAAATTCAAAGGGTCTTTAAATTAATATATTTTAATTTTAAAACGAAGATTTCAATTTTTTATAAACACTTAAAAATCATACTTTTTAAAATTATCTTCTTTTGAATCGGGTTGGGGTTGGCTTTTTTTTTTGGCTGCCTCGACCTTGACCTAAAAATATATTGCTTATACTTGATCTTGTCCCACCCTTGATGAATTCTTGCTATTCTCTCGCCCTGAATCCATTTTCAACTCTGACTTGATTCGAATATATTCATAATTTAAAATAGTTAAAATAATATATTTATAATCATTATTATATTTTAAACAATTAAAATAATATATTTTCTAATAATTTCTATATTTTTAATAATTAAACAATATATTTTAACAATATAAAAATAAAAAAAAAATCTTAAATATCATATATATATATATATATATATAAGAATAAATTAATAATTATCGAACTCATTTCGCCTCGTCCCATCCCAAAGTCATATACCATATAACTCATTTCGCCTCGACTCAAACTCAGAATTAAAAAAAAATACCTCTATAAAACTGAGTCGGCCAGTCGGATCGGGACCTTCGGGTTATGGTATATTTACCATTCCTACTTTTGAATAATGCTAACCTAAACCCACAACCGGAACCCTAAAATGGGAAGGGAAATATTTAAAAAAGGTAATACCGGAAAAGCGGGAAGTTTTAAAGTGGGAAATGGGAACTAAATTTTTAAAATCTTTATAGCGCCAATTCCTAAGCAACAAAATCTCCTTCAATCAATCATCTCCCTAAAACACCAACATGCAATCCCAAATTAATTCTTTCTTCAAGCCGCCGCCGCCGTCTTCTATGTCAAGTGAGTGCTCGAATTCACCTCCAGAGTTCTGCGATGACAAGAACGATGAATTAGCTACCTGGGAGCAGACTCGGCACATCTTTGTCAACACCTACACGAGCAGAGGTTCAAATTTTGAAGGGTATTCTTTTCTTCTATCCAAAGAAGTAATGGCTTTTTTTTGGGGTGTTTTGGATTTTTTAAAAAGATTTCTATCTTTTGAAGGATTGACAAGAAAAAAGAACCAAGCAATGAGAAACCGGAAAATCCCATTTCAGATAATAGGTTTTCGAGGGAAGAATGCGGTTCAAGCGGGAGAAATCTGAATAAGAAGAGGAACTATGCACAGTTCCATTTGGAGTTAGGTCAATCTAATTTTCTTCTCCATGGTTGTTCAACTTGTGGGCTCAAGTATTCTCCTGGGGATGAAGTTGATGAAAAGAACCATACCGTCTTTCATAAGAATTTCACTCTTGGTATTCAATTCAAGGTACGCACACGTGTATTTTCTTAAACCTATATATATATTCTCTTTCTGTAATTAAGGAACACGTCCACCTGTTGCTCTGCAATTTACTACAACAGTAAAAGACAAAATTCGTTTTGATCCATAAGCTAATATTTGAAGAATTAAAAGTTGAAATTTTGTTGAGCTTCATTTTGAAGGGATGGAGAAATGAGAGGGTTGTTCTTATGCCCAATGGTGAACGTGGTCGAGTCATTTTGGTTTTGGATTATGATCCTGTTGCTCAGAGGAATAAGGTCAAGATTTTGGTTTTTCATTTTTTGATATAATCGATTTAGTTCGACTTGTTTTGAATTTCGAAGTAAAAGTTCACTCTTCTCTCCGTTAACTGTTTCTTCAGTCTCTCTCTAGATCTATATTTTTATGCAGGGGTGTATTTGCAGAGATTACTTCCCATTACAACGTGCATATGAAAATTGTCCAACTACGTATTTTATTTATTTATTTAAATATGCATTGTATTTTATCTTTATTTCTAATTTTTTATTGGATGTCTTTCACGGAAGCTGCTCTCAACCTGGCATTAGGGGATAACTACCTCCCCTTACTCCATTACATATGGGAAGAAGGTGTTGTTGTTGTTGTATTTTTTGATATAATCACACAGTTAACTGTTGCTTCATTGCAATACTGTTGCTTTAGCAGGTGCTAGAGGTTGTAAAGATGATGGAGACTGAACTTGGTGAGGGCTGGATTTTTCACAAGCATTGCAAGGTCATGTGATTACATTTCACATATTTGCACTCCAATTCGGCACATTATATACATTATCTAACAAAATCTGTTTCATTTATTTCAATTATCAGCAAATGATTCTTACATTTGATCTATTTCTATGTCACTGTATTACAGTCCAAATAGTTGCAAAGTTAAACAATTTCCATGTCTCCATTATACTGTTTACAGGTATACCTATTCGTTTCCTCCCAACGAATTGCTGGATGTCTAGTTGCAGAACCGATAAAGCAAGCTTTTGAAGTCCTCTCATGTTTGGTCGGCGAAGGACGCGATGGTGCAACTGCAAAGAAAGCGAGGTTAAGCTCAGGCGAACTTCAGTTTGGGGAAGTTGTTTTGCCGAGGGAAGTCATAAAAAGAACACCTTCAGAGGTGTCACATGAAAGCCGGAGCGGAGCAACTCTGTGTAGAAAGGAAGGGGTACGTGCCGTTTGCGGCATAAGAGCAATCTGGGTCACTCCTTCCAACAGAAGAAAAGGCATTGCCACTCAATTGTTGGAAGCAGTAAGGTAAACCCTTGAGATTTAATATTGTTAACTCACTATTGTTGTTCCGATAAAATAGCAGTCTAAAATACAACCCGTTAATATGAGATTAAAAAAGGTAGAATCAGTTGTAATCGAAAAAATTATCAAGAATGTAACTTTATAGAGTAAATTAATAACATTTTAGTTTAAACTGAAAATATTACGTTTTTTCATAATAAATCATGTCAATTGTGTAACTATTATAGTTGCAACTTAAATAATTATGTTAATAAACTTATGTAACATTCTTATTTGTAATCGAAATTATTACCAATTATTTTACTTTTTAGAGTAAACATGTAACATTTTAGGTCAAAACCCATTGTAATATAATATTCTCGGTTGTAACTGAAATAATTATTAATTATATAACTTTTTAGATTTGACTTGATAATATTTTAAGTTAAAATTCACCTTAAGTTAATTTGCCGTACAATAAAACTACCCCAATAAAGTTTCAAGTTTTGGTGATGTGTGATTGTGTTGCATCGAGTATACATCATGATTTTCAGAATCGGATCGGTTAGTGAACCAGTCATGTTACCGGTTCACTGGTTCAATCGATCGAACAGTTTAATCGGTCGGAAGAATCGAACGACATCATAATTATTTAAAAAATTAAATAAAAATATTTAATAAAAAATAATTTTTTATATCACAAGTCATATTCAAAGCAAATCATAACATATATAAGTTAAAAACATAAAATTAAGTGAAATAAAATGATTTAAATTAACTACAACATAATATTTAAGGTAAAACATATTAAATAATAAATATAATTATATAACTATAATTAAAAAATAAATTTGGGGTTAAAAAAATCATAACAAAATGATATTGTTTGGTTTAATTTTTTTTAAAAACAATCTCACATGGCTAAGAAACATAGAAGAGCATTCCAAAAGCTTAAATAGTAAAAATATATAACAAAATAATCTCACATTGCTAAGAAACATAAAAGCGCATCACAACTAACTTTTATAAATAATAGAGGTAATTTGATTTCAAAATCATGGAGTCTTTTGGTAAGCATTGAGTGAACTATTTTTTCACTTCAATCAAGTTCGAATTTTAGGCTTTAATCGAGCTTCTAATTTTTTTTTTTTGAGTTTAAGCCTTTTTGAGTTCAAGTTTCAATATTATATTTCGAGTTGAACTTGATAATTTTTAGCTTGTGAGTTGAGTTGAGCTTATTTTTAAAGTTTTTAAGTTCGAGTCGAGCTTAGCAATACTCGAGTTCGACTTGGCTTGTTTAGCAAACGACGTTGTTTGCTTTAATTTAAAAAAAAATCTCGGTTTTCAGCCGGTCCGGTTCGAACGGTTTAGCGGTTCTGGCTGGTTCACTAATAACGGTTCAATCGATTTAGATTGAATCGGACTAAGCAACGATTTCTGGTTAAACCGGTTGAACCGACTGGTCCGGTCCGATTTTCAAAACAGAGGTATACATTCTCCCAATTCATGGCATCTGGTTCCAATTAAACTGTGTAATGCAGGAAAAGCTTCTGTAGGGGACGTGCTATTGAAAAATCTGAGATGGCATTTTCTGAACCAAGTTCAGATGGACAAGTTTTGGCGTCCAACTATACAGGAACAACCTCTTTCTTGGTGTATAAAACTAATAATTTTATTAAAAACGTAATTTCTTAGATTAGATAAAGTAATGTTTTCGGTTGCAATTATATTTTAAAAAATAGAGAGGGGTAACAATGACCTTCAGTGAGGGTTATCTGTACATGTATGGTTATATTGTTTAATCTTCAATATTGTTTTTGGTTTCAAGGAAGACAGAAAGGATACAAAACCTTTCATCAATTATTAATGATTTTCAATTATAATTGTTTGTTAATATAGAAGGTTAAATTACTATTATTATTTGATATATATTTTTTATTTTATACTTCAAATTTTATGTATAATCTTAACTAAATTTGTATTATTGAATTAAATAATATCAAATTCAATCGTACATTTTAAAAAAGAAATAATTCATAAAAATCACATTTAGTAAAATAAAATCAACAAATGGTGGAGTGGCGCATAGAACTTAGGATTTGTGTTTATTATTTAAGTGATATTTTCTTCTTTTTATTTAAAAATTATATGAAAAAATATCATCATAAAATTATTATATTTAAAAATAATAATTTTCAATTGAATTGATGCTCACATTAACTTGTGACATAAATTTTAATTAAAATTTTATTATATAATATAAATATAAAATTTTATAATAGTTTAAGGATATTACAAGATAATATATATTCAGAATATTTCTTAGTTATTGATAACATATACCCATAGATGTAATTCTTTAAACTTATAACTTCTATGAAAAATAATACTACGTTCGATCGATTAGACTACTTGATGAATTCGTGAATATATCTTAATTAAATAAAATAATTTATATTTATAACCTTAATTTTCTCCTAATTGAAACTTCTCAAAAACCCTAAAGTTGCCTATCTCTTTTTTTTTTTATTATTATTATTATGGTTGATAGGCGTGGTCTGCGACGGTACGAGCCTTGTTGTTGGTTGTTATTTCAAATATTTTTATTTTTTTAAATTTCTTATATTACACCTTTATTTTTATTTTTTTCTAGTTTCTAATATTTTCTTTTTTATGGTACATTTATTTAAAGGGAAAATAAAATAGGCGCTACATATTACGTTAAAATACCTACCGGTTTGTTTAAAGGTTACTAATAATTTAAACGGTAAAATAAAATAAGCACTACATATTACGTTAAATAAACACTACCTATTACGTTAAATAAGCACTACCTATTATGTTAAACTAGCTACCGATTTGTTTAAATGTTAATAATAATTAAACGGTAAAATATATATAACTTAACCGTTTGAAATATTTTTTAAAAATTCGAAAATAATGATACTTACTCTAAAAGTATGGATACTCTAAATGTTAATAATAATGTATCCATACTTTAAAAGTATGGATACTGTTTCGATGGTAATGTAAACGGTAAAATATATACAACTTAATCGTTTGAAATATTTTTTTAAAATTCAAAAGTATGGATACTTACTCTAAAAATATGGATACTCTAAAGGTTAATAATAATGTATCTATACTTACTCTAAAAGTATTGATATTTGCTCAAGTATTGACTATTAGATCATAGTATTATCGATATTTATTTTAAAAATAATTGTCATCCAAAGATACATGATATATTAAATCCTACCTATATCATTAAGCACAACTTTAATATTTCAGATTGCAACATACTTCTTTATTTAAAATAACATTATTGGGCGCAATCTAATATGTTAATATTAATATTTATTTCTAATAAAATAAGAAATTAACATATTTTGTTGTCGTGGGATTTCGAAGGCCCCATCATCTTAAACTTTGGTAACATTTTAGACGCTACCTAATATGTTGATAATATTAATAACAAAATAAGTAATTAATCTATTTTGTTATTGTCAGATTTCTAAGGCCCCATCAGCTTAAACTTTGATAATATTTTAAACGCTACCTAATATGTTGATAATATTGATAACAAATTAAGTAATTAACATATTTTGTTATCATTGGAATTCTAAGGTCCCATCAACTTTAAAAAGACACTACCTATTACATTAAGCGATACTTGTTATACTATTATGGTTGATGATGTTTTCAGTAATTAATCTATTTTGTTATCGTCGGATTTTTAAGACTCCACCAGCTTAAACTTTGATAACATTTTAGGCGCTACCTAATATGTTGATAATATTGATAGCAAATCAAGTAATTAACCTATTTTGTTATCGTCAGATTTTAAGGCCCCATCAACTTTAAAAAGGTGTTACATATTACGTTACATAAGCGCTACTGTTATGTTATTATGGTTGATAATGTTTACAATAATTAACTGATTATGTTAAAGTCAATATTTTTTTGGCGCGTTTTACATACGACGATAATATTTCTGATTATTACCATTATTATTACCAACACAAATAAATTTATGGTGAAAACATTTAAAATTTCGGTAATGCTTTTAACCGATCACATATTTAACCAGTCACGCCGTTTTTAGCCATATATTAGTCCGCCTCACAACAGAACCTCCCACCTAATACGATTTTAATCAAAATAATATTGTAAGTATTTGAAGGGTAAAGTATACAAATGGTCTCCCAATTATAAGATATTTTTTGTTAAATCCTCTTACTATTAAAAATTACAAAGTGGTCCCTGACTATAGAGTGTTGTTTTGTTGAGTCCCTCGACTATTAAAAATTATAAAATGGTCACTCAACTATTCATTATTTCCAAACTTGTATTTTTCCGTTAAAAATTAAATGTTGTCTAAGTTGAACGTTGACATTCTGATTGAAATATGATAAAATATGATCTTATAATCTCAAACAACTATCATATCTCAGTCAACATGTTAATGTCCATCTCATACGACCGATAATTTTTTCATGATAAAGGATGAGTTTGAAACATAATGAATAGTCAGGTGACCATTTTGTAATTTTTAATAGTCGAATGACTCAACAAAACAACTTCCTATAATCAGGAGACTATTTTATAACTTTTAATAGTTAAAAAATTCAATGAAATAATATTCTACGATTGGGGAACCATTTATGTAATTTACCCTTATTTAAATATCAATTGAAGATTAAAACGGTATGTATATATAATTCACCGTGCCTTCAATCCCAATATATTTTGTAACATTGAAAAAATGTACTACACCAACTGACAATGGCAATTTCGTCTCTCAGACCCATAAAAAATATAGTTTTCGTTTTAATGAGTTATCCTCCTCGAAAAATCCAACCCCAATTGGTATAATATTAAAATTAGTCCACAATGTTTATCAAAATTATCATTTTGTTTCATATTCAATTTTTTGTAGTATTTTGACCTCTAACATTTAATATAATAATCACCTTGTCTCTTTTTTCCTGAAGTATTTTAACCCTCAACGTTTTATTTTAGTTAAAAATACTCATATTTTGGAGCGTTAATCGTGTGTTAACTAATGATTTTAAATTATAGAGTAGCTTTTTATCCCAAATTAAAACATTAGGGTCTAAAATATTCTAAAAAATAAAATAAATATCAAAATAACTGTTTTAATAAATATTAGGGGCTATTTTCAGTATTATGTCTTTTTACTTGAGCCCCAAGGTTGTCACTTCCTTTAAAAACCATCCTAATGAAAAGAGTACCCTAATGCACCTCTCTCATCTTTCCCTTCTTCCAAAACTAGCTCCTCCGCCTTATCTTAGGTGAATTTCTCGAAAAATCACCCTTATAATCATTTATTCTCTGTCAGACACCGTTTAGACTTTATTTCCCGATCTAACCCTTTGCAGGAAGGCACACCCCCTGAAATGCGCCTTACGCTGACATGGATACACGCGGGCCGCGCCTTTGCTTTAATTTCAGACCATTCACACCTTTTTCCACCCCTATAAATACCTCCATTCTCAATCATTTTCATCACCAAATCCTCTCAACTTCTCTCAAATCCTCTCAACTTAAGGTATATTTTATTTTTTTAATATTTTATTAGTATTTTATTAAATTATTAAATTATTTTAATATTTTATTTAATTAATTTTTTGCAGTTATAAAATAGAAGGTGGTCTGCTTCGTTTGAATGAAAATCATATATCGAGTTATTATTCTTATACGGTAACATTTTTTACATTTTAATTTAATTTAAATTATTAATAATAATTTATTTATTTAATGCATGATTATTAGTGGATAAATTAATTTTTGTAATTATTAATATTTTAGGAGAGCGACCGTATATTAGATCCTTTTATTAGAAACCTTAAGTTAACGATACCTACCCGTGTTTGGTCGTATTTAGTTGGATTCGGTCACATAGGTAGATATAAAGGCCATTGTAAGATAGAACAAAACCTTATTTCTGCATTAGTGAGCGGTAGAGGTCGGAGACCCACACATTCTATCTTCCGTGCGGAGAGTGCACAATTACGCTTGAGGATGTTTCTATGCACTTGGGGCTTCTAGTGGATGGAGATGTGATTTTAAGGATGACGCACAGTAATTGGACTACTTTGTGCCAGAATTATCTATGAGGTGTTCTGCGAAATTTTAATGGTGGTCGGATACCATTAAATTGGTTATATGTCAATTTTTGGAATTTGAGTGAGGATGCCTCAGAGGATCAAGTTAAAATGTATGCACGAGCATGCATACTGCAGTTGATAGGAGGGTTGCTGATGCCAGACAAATCGCGCAACCAAGTTCAATGTATGTGGTTTCGATATCTTGGCGACTTTAATATGGCCGGATCACTGAATTGGGGCTCGACAGTTTTGGCATTCCTGTATAGGGAGATGTGTCGAGAGACTGACTACAGGAAAAATGCTATCGGCGGATATCTCCTTCTATTGCAGTCTTGGCATGGTATTGATTGCCTTTTTTATGTCCTGTTGTGAATAACCCGTTCGAATTTCCGCTACTATTGAGGTAATTATAAAACTGATTTCGTATATTAATCATTTTATCCAGTGTATAATAAAAAAATTCCTTGAATAGGTGGTCTACTTACAGGAAAAATCATCGGGAGCTACCTGATGATTTATAAAAAATGAGGGTGCTAATCGATTAGAATGTTGGCACAAAGGTAT